AGGAAAATTAATGTTAGTATTGTTTTAAGCCATAAAATTTCGAGGTGTTACTTTCACAAAGCAATAGAGGAGCGGACCAGGGGCTAGTTGTCTTCGGGAATATGGCACAATAGTTTCAGAAAATAAACTATCAGAGGATTAGATCAGTGCTTCTGTGGATTCCAGTTGGCATGGACCCACTCACACCTGCCCTGAAAACAACAAAAACATGCTCAAGATATCCTATCACTCAGTGTCAAATCTCATGTGCACTGACGCTCAGGATTACGGAGTCTTGGAGACAGATCAAGCCTTGTTGTTTATGGGCATCATTATCACTGACAATCCGTTGTCAGGTTGCTATACACGTTCTCCCAAGCAGCAGATCTACAAAGGAGAGCCTTTTCTTGGTCTGAACCTTCTAGTTCACAAACAAGGAATGGCAAGGCTGGCTGGATAGAAACTTGGTGATGACTTCATCAAGCAGGAAGCCCTGAGGAACAGGAGCATTTCTCCAGGCGGGTGACTGAAGATGGCTGGCTTGCAGCCAGTCTGCAAGGGGGCTGGGAATATTGGGCTTCTTCAACCTTAAAACAGCAAGAGGCAGAAGCAGAGTCTGTTTGTCTTTTATCGTGACTGGCACATGGTAGATTCTCAATAAATATTTGTTAAATAAATATCACAAACACAGCATTATTTAATGCCTTAGCTTTGGAACACTAAATATTACGTGACTATCCTAATAGAGCATCTGATATAATAAAATGGTTACAATGACTCACTTATTCACCATCTCATCTTCATTCATCACCTACCATCTGAAAGTTACGGAAAGGATACAATGATGGATCTGACACTAACCATATTAGTAAAATTGATCATATCCTTTGTTCTGATCACCTACTCACCCTATCATTGAAGGAGGGCTTGGCAGAAGCTTTTTAATCACATTTACTCACAGCCCTTATGAGGAGGACACCGAAAGCCACGCAGAGCCATGAGGGGTTTGCACACAGGAATAAAGTGAACCAGCAGGGGCTGTGGGAGACAAACTGTAGTGTCAAGAGGGTGGAGTGATCCCAGCTTTCCATGGGGGTATATGATTGGTTTGTAGGAAGCTCATAGGAAGGTAAAATCAATTAAGTTGGGGACCATGTTGGGTGGAGCTGGTGTGGCTGATCAGGGAGGTAGCAAGTGTGGAGCCTTTCCCAATGCGTAGGGGACACATCTGGCAAGAGACAAGGAAGTCACTGCTAGGCTTTTGGGCCCCGTGAGGGTCAGAAATGTCAAGACAGCACTTGAAATTTAGGTCTTATAATACATCTCTTGGCCTCTGATCCTCCCTTGTAAGATCAGGTGGTGAGAAACCAATGATCTCAAGTTCTTGTCAGTTTTAATTCTCTTTAATTCTCATTATGTGAGGCCACTCCAATGAGAGGTCACTCTCGGAGGCACTTGCTGTCCTGATTTGTCTGTGAGACCAGTCTATTTTTGCTCATGTTGGAGATATCTCACTGAATTCAGGCTAATCTCCTAGGGCCCTCTGAAAATTTTAATGTGACGCTAAAGAATTTTCTTTCCGATGAGTAGGAAGGAGAGTACGTTACAACATTTAGCACAGAAGTCCATTTTGGCATTAACAGGAAGAGCTTTTAGAGAGTCCAAGAAAGAAATATTTATAAGCCTAAAATCAACTATTCTTTTAAATAATATTAAATTTTTAAAGTAAAATCTTAGCGAGAGTTAAGAAATGTTTATATTTTCTTCCAGAGGTAAAAATTCATTATCTCAGACAGTAGGGGATTTGTGATCCTTATTAGATTCTGCAAATTTAGGACTGCAGGGGAAGAGTCAAAAACAGCTTGCCTGCTTAATTTCCATCAAAAGGCAAAAAAATGTGTTTGCCTTTGACTTCCAAACCTAAATTTACAGAACTTAATAAAAATTGTAAGTTTGATTTCACACGCCTGTTTTAACATAAAATTATCCTCATCTCAGGAAAAGAATTTAAGTTAATGTTATCAATAGTCTTAGTAACAAAAACTTCTAAGTATGTAAAGAGCATTATGGTTAAGATTGAGTTACCTGCACTCTCTAATAGTCATAATAGTAAGCATTCTCTGCTCAGAGAACATGTGTTCTCCAACATTTAAGAAATAATTGAAGAAAGTAAGAATAATAATGAAAAGGGTATGCTGCTGTCCAGGGGCTTCAAGCTAGGATGCTCTCCTACATAGGCACCTGTTTCAAGCCCAGGTACCTATTTCTTATTCTGGCAAGACACTGTTATTATCAATACATTAATATGAAATCAAATAATAATAAAAAATTAGAATTCTGTAGCTTGGGCATGTGTCCTCCAAAGAATGTTTCAAATTTATATTTAAATTTATCTGTCTTAAAGCTCCTGGACCAGCAATATCTTGTGGTGGAAATACTGTCTTCTAACAAAATACAGTTTAATATGGTAGTCTTTACAACAACAAAGAGTTAAACTGCAATGAAAAGCAGTGGTAGCTTGCAATGTCTAACTGAGGGCATCATGAAGAATTCTAACAGGGACGCCTGGGTGGCTCAGTCGGTTAAGCGGCTGCCTTCAGCTCAGGTCATGATCTCAGGGTCCTGGGATCGAGTCCCGCATCGGGCTCCTCACTCGGCGGGGAGCCTGCTTCTCCCTCTCTCTCCCTCTGTTTGTGCTCTCTCTGTCAAAGAAATAAAATCTTTCAAAAAAAAAAAAAGAATTCTAACAGAAAAATATAAAAAATGAATTGCCTAAAGGAAGTGTCACGTATTAAACTTACAGTCATTTCTAGGCTGCTCTCTTATTGAGGATAATAAAACCTGTTCCCTCCAACATTTTAAGAAGCATTGCATTAAATTTTTTATGGCAATTGGTTTACTTGGCTAGGACACTGACATTTTCTTTGTTGGCAAATAAACATATTTTCCACAACCTAAGTCACCTTATGCAATGGGTCCTGACAAATTCTGTGGGCTGTGAGAACAGGAGAGAAAGGGAGATAAAGCAGACAGATGAGCACATTTTCTTTAATGTTTGAAATAACGTGAAACACACCAAGAAAATCAAATATGGGTAGCACTGTTCAAAATTTTCAAGTATAACTGCTCTAATGTATTAAACCAATAGTGCCTGACATCAAAAGGTACGTGTGAGACTAAAATGCACAACACAGACAAGCCCAATTGGAAAAATATAGGACAGAAGACAACAAAAGCATACTTCTAATACACTCCATAGGATCAAAAGACAAATTATAAAATAGCACAGAATCTGCATCAGAGTGAATGTATGTAATTGATTTCGGAAAGAGATAGTTTGTTCAAGCCCAGCGATGGGTATTAAGGAGGGCATGTACTGCACGGAGCACTGGGCGTTCTATGCAAACAATGAATCGTGGAACACTACATCAAAAACTAATGATGTAATGTATGGTGATTAACATAACATAATAAAATAAAATTTAAAAAAGTGTACAAGCTTTTGATAATTTTTTTATTAAGGTAAAACAATTTTTAGGAATCCTATGAAGTCTGCAGCTTAATTAATTTTTGCGATATAATCACAAGTACGTAATCATGATCCGATTTTCCAATATTTTGTAAATAAAACTATACCACCACCAAGTGTGTGTATATATATATATATATATATATGGCTTCTACAACTACAGATGCAGCAATGACCATAAGTTCAAACATTCACTGAGTACCTAGTATTTAGGCATTGATATTTGCATGCATTATCTCACACAATCCTGTAGAAAGCACATAAAAGGAATACTGTTGTCATCTTGCTCTTTATCCAGGAGAAAAGTCAGGCACAGAGACTTTGCTAACTTCATGGCTAGTAAGTGGGAGAGGATGTAGATCCAGGCAGTCTGGCTCCAGACATGCTCCCTTAACCACTATACATTATTCATTCACTTACATGATGAATATAAGGTAAACTTGAACATGAGGTGATTTGTCATGTGCCCAATGAGAAGTTTACAAAAAATATTTTTTATTAATTTGAACATATACACATTTGGGAATGTAGATACAATTATCAACTAACTGCAATTTTAGTATGTATATATACACATATACATATGTATATGTATAAAATCACGTTAGGTAAATTAGCATATTTATTAGAAATATTGCCCTTTTTATACTCATGTAACACAACAGTACAGTCTAGTGGTTTAGCACAAGGACTCTGAAGCCAGACTGGGTTCAAATCTCACGTCTAGCATTTCCTACCCTATGATGTTTGGCAAGTTATTTAACCTCTCTGTTCTCAGTTTCATATGTCAAGTATATAGTACCTACCTTGTCAGGCTGTTAGGAAAAGTAATTGAGTAGAAAGGTGTGAAGGGCTTAGAGCAGTGCCAGGTATATAGTAACTATATACTGATATTAGCTCATAGCTTCCCCCCCGCAAATGCTTCACTGCACCGTTGGCAGGAGGGGTTCTGCCATCACCAGAGCCCAGCCCTCTGATGCCATGTTTTACAGTATTTCCCCTTTCCCCTTCTAAGTTGTTTGAGACACAGAACTTCCACTACTGCCACTGAAATTCTTATCCCAAACCACAATATCCATTCACCTAATATTAGAAATGTTTGATTTGCTATTTAAGAGGTTGTCTGAGCTCTACAATAAAAATACAGCATTGCTTTAAAAATTATCTTTAAAATCCTTTTTTTTTTTTTTACAGCACGAGGCACGTGGAATATTCAAGTCAAAATCCCGAATAAATGTTAAGTTAGGGATAAATTTCTTTGCCTTTTAAAAACCCAATTTGTCTAAAAGCATCTGGTGTTGTTCCAGGCAAATCTGACTTCCCAAGACAGTAATTTATTGCTCCAAGTAAAATAATTGAAATAACAGAAGCAGAATTTGAGGAGGTAACTCTTTTCTAAGGGATAAAGGATAATTTGGAGGAGATATAATTTGGGAAATGGAGTTATATCTTTAATATTCAGGGATAGTGAAAACAGATCTTGGGCATTTACATTGGTTTTTACCATAATCATCAGGTTTCATCGTGGAACTTGACATGATAAGTACACAGCTGCCAAATCCTCACCTCATTTGGTGCTTGTGGATATAACTGAAAGTAGGGGAAACTACCCATGCTCAAGCCAGAATTTTCTGGCGAAATTCTCCATGACATATTTACTATAAAACAGAGGGGAAAGAAGGCAACTCTAACATCTAAGCACAATTTCGGCGTGCCTGGGTGGCTCAGTCTTTAAGCGTCTGCCTTCAGCTCAGGTCATGATCCCAGCGTCCTGGGATCGAGCCCCACATCGGGCTCCCTGCTCCTTGTCAGAAAGCCTGCTTCTCCCTCTCCCACTCCCCCTGCTTGTGTTCCCTGTCCCTCATTCTCTCTCTCTCAAATAAATAAATAAATAAAAATCTTTAAAATCTAAGCACAATTTCACTGCTGCCCCCCAAAAACAAAGTTTTCTGTGTGTGTTTGTGAAGTATGTGGAAGTGTTAGTGTGTATTCTAGCATGATTGTCAAACTAATTAGAAGATACCACTCATTATTAGAATGTTCTTTTTTCTTTTTCTTTTTTTGGTCACAAGTTTGGTAACTGAGATACTAAGTCCCAGAGATGCCTGGGCCACTGTTACAAGCCCACTTCATGTTCTATCAACTCTTGACCTGGTTAAGACTTCCTACTCCTAATGAACCCAATTCAGTGATGTTAACAGAGGTCAGCACATTTACTAAGTACTGCAGTTTGCTTTAAAATAACTCTCTGAAGACTATCCTGAGGTGGGGGGATGCAACACCAAAAGAAAAAAAAACTTTTTTTTCCCCAAAACGAGAGGTCTACCTGACTAGCCCCAAATTGACTGTTATTCTCTAAGAGTTTTCTGCAGGATACCTTGGTTTATACTTCAAACAGTGTGGAAGATTTAATCATGTAACTTAATTTTTTTGCTTGTCTTATTGAGTAAGGGACAGGTATGGCTAAGAGGGAGAGACAGGTAGGGGGGAGACTTGAATTTTCTTTCAACCATAAGATCACTAAGTAGATGAAGTAATAGATTATTGCATATTGTCGATAACTGTAAGTTCAGCTTCATAGGTTATATAGCTTAGAGAACATAATCATATAATTTATCAACCAAACTGGGATATTTTTGATAGCAAAAAAGGGAAAATATTAATAATTATGCCAGAAAAAAACAGGCATAAAATGGGACAATGTGGCTGGCTCCAGCAAATCTGGCCACATGGTCATCTCCCAAGAGTTATGCAGATGGTACCTACATCAATAAATTCTAAAATGATTTACAAAAGTTGGTAAATTGAATAATTTGATGAGCTTTTTCAGAAATTTTCTGATGAAATTAGCTGCCCATTCATCTCAAGAGTATACTCCTTGGTTTTTTAGTTTGTTATGTCCTTTTCCTATTATTATTTTTGTTTGGAGGGGAGTGTGGAGTTTTTTTGTTTGGTTGGTTTTATTTGTTTGTTTCATACAGAGTGTATGTTGAAAAAAACCTTTTAACCAGTGAAATTGTATTACTCCTTTGGAAACCGTTCCCAGAGCAATGGCCTGGTTTCTTTTGTAAAGACCACGGGATTTGGGGGCCAGCATATAATGCAAAGGCTAAATTTTAATACCGTAAGCTCTGAAGACAGTTCTGCTCAATGGTTAATACCATGGCATTTGGAGTTAGGATTCCTGCACTTTCAAAAAGTGATTTAACTCTCTATGATTTAACACGGAAGCCAGAGCAATCAAAAGGAAAGAATCTATTTATGACACTCTTCAGTTCATAACCTTCAATGGTTCTCCTTTGTCTTTTAGAACCAAAACCAGAATCCCACAAGACACTCTATTCCTGGTCCTTGCCTGTTAGCTCCAGCCTCAACTCCTACATGGCTCTCCTCCATCGCCTCTCTAACCATCCCCGCTTCATTTAAACCAGTGATTTCCAAACTCTGATTTTATCCAAGAGACATTTTTAAGTTGTCACAAGGTGGCAGTGGGGATGGGGGGTGTGCTACTGGCATCTAGCTGGTAGAGGTCAGGGATGTTGCTAAACATCCTACAGCACACAAGGCAACATCATTCGTCCCCCTCCCATCCCCTCCCCGCCCGCAAGAATCATTTAGATCAAAATGCTAATAGTGCAAAGATTGAAGAACCCTTATTTACACCTTTTCTGACACCATGTTTTCCCTAATCCTAGGCCTTGCACACACTATTCTACTGCCTGAAATATTCACGCTCTTCCCCTTCCCTCATTTCCCTTTTCTTTAATAACTCCTTTTCACCCTTTTGATCATCACCTTTTCAGTGGCTTTCCCAATTTTCCATCCCAGAGGAGTATTACACCCTTTCAAAGAATTATGTAGCACTTAAGAATATTAGTAACAGTTTTACATATACTTATATGTGTTTGATAGACCCACCCCAACGAATCCCAGGTGAGCGATACCATTTAGCTTGTATTCATCATAGTAGCCCCAACAGCTAGTACAGCGAGGTGAGTTGTCCTGCAACACTGCATTCAGTGTTACTAAATGAACACTTAACAGCCTCACTTACAAAAGGAGAGTAATACAGTAATCATCTCATTAGGTCGTAAGGACTAAATAATACACATAAACTCTATAACACTGTTTCTGGATCACAGTAATGCCAGAAAGACCGAGCTCTGTAGTCTGTGGGCAGGAGAGTGGCTCTATCCGCTCAGTATCAGCCAGCACATCGTCTCCCAGGACTCCGGTCGGCTAAGGACTTCTCCCCTCCTCCAAATAGTAACTAACAACTGCTGCGCCTGCGCTTTTCGGCCTCGATTGCTAACCAGGCTACCGGAAGTATTTTCCTTCTTCTCATTGGTCCACCACTGGTCTGATTTCTTCGGTACTGCGCATGTTCCACAGCCGGTTTCTTCCTCCCCGGCCCCGCCCCGTATCCGCCCTAGAGGAGCACATATCTGCCAACACGCCTGCGCGAGCGGGCGTGCCCCGGAAGCAGTTCTTTGGCCCTGTGACACGTAGCAACGGAGTGAGTTCAGGGTCTTAAGCGTCGTTGGGGGGTTTTGGGGGTTGCTGGAGCTGCTGACGCCGCTACGGCCGCTTCCGCGTTTGGTGAGTGTCCCAGGCTTGTGGCACATTGTTCGGCTTCTCTTCACTGTTGTGTGGCTTGGCTTGTTGCCGCCGTTCGGCGCCGGGTTCCGGTCATTTCGCTCAGACCCTCACTCCCTTTCAGGCGCTTGCTTTGACGCTGCCCCTGTACCTCATTTGCGGCCTTCCAGGAGTCCGCCCTTTCCCGGAAGGCCCAGGCTTTATTTTGCGAAGAGACAGTCGCCTTGTCAGCAGCAGAGTCTGCCCTGAGGTGAGGAATCGTCTTTGTTGTTGATATCTTAGACCTCCGTGGAACCAGTTCTCCCACGCCCTTTCCCCTAACCAGGGCATATCAGCTCCGTGAAGTGCAGGTGTCTTCCCGGCTCTTAGAGACTAGACGTTTCCTGTGCAACTCCCACCTGGACCTATCCTTCAAATGCCGTTCCCCCTTCCAGAAGAAATAATTTACTGCCTCCTGAGGCTTTTTGCTTTGTATCGAAATGAAATCAGTAGGACCTTGGGTATAAACACTATTTGTCATTTTTCTTCTCTTTCAGATAATTTGCAATGGCAGGGTTTGATAACTTAAACACGGATTTCTACCAGACAAGTTACAGCATCGATGACCAGTCACAGCAGTCCTATGATTTTGGAGGAAGTGGAGGACCCTATAGCAAGTAACTTGTCAGCTTTGACAATATTTAGTCCAGACTGAAATGAAAGCCGGTGTCCTCGTTGTTTGGTTCTGCCTAAAACTGAACGTGTCACCATGTACCTTGTCAGGAATGTGATTTTTTATAATCTTCCTTCCTCTGGAAGGATCTGTGACACTGGTTTGGGTTTGAAGGGATTGCCCTATTTAGAGTTTGGTATCTTCTGCAAAATCTTCAGGTGTGCCGTGGCTGCAGAAGTAGATTGTTAAGAACTGTTTCCTAGTAATAGTATTTCTACATCATTTAGGATATGGCTAATAGCTTCAAGTATCTAGAAAGATACCTAGGCTATTTCGTCTACAGAACCAGTTAAAAATTTAAAATCTTGTGACGGCTAGTTTAAGAAGTTAAATCAGTCCAAATTTCAGACCTTATCAACATTAATTCAAAGGGCTTAGTGACACTCTTTAGCAGTGTAAGCTCTCTGTTACGAATCATCAGGTGATTTCTTTAATAGCAAGTGATAATCATCTTTATTACTGCTCATATCAAAACCTTACGGTCAGTACACACAGGTTGCCAGTTGCCTATTGAAGAGGGGGACTCAAACCCTTTCAGCCCTGAACTGTTAAGAACAAAACCAAACCCTGACTTTTTAATAGTCCCTGGTGTTAGTGGCAGAAATACATTAGCTGAGGCTTTCCACCATTCTCCTCTAGGACATCATATTCTTAGTTTCTTAGGACCTTAAAGATAATCTCATCAGTCATTTCTGATACCAGGGTGGCTTAACCTTTTTTAGATGGTCCCAGGCCCCTTCAAGAATCTTACAGAAATGATGGGCCTCTTTCTGAGATATAAATCATACACTCAAATGCCCACATAAATATGCATATTACTGCACAGTTGATGTGCCATCTGATGTTCATCTATGAACCCTGAATTAAAAACCTCATGAAGGGTCTCCCACAATGAGGGCAAGGGAACGTTGTGTATTGAATCAATCTGAGAGAAACATGTATTAGTAGAACATGTTTGAATTAATATATCTGAATGAAAGTGCCCAAGAATTTAAAAAGCAAAGCAAAACTCAAATTCAACCCTCAGTATGGTCTGTCTTACATAAGCTGTACTTTTTACACCTTTTGCCCCCTTAAGTCTGCTTAATTTGATATATTCCAAAGCTTTCTTCCCCCTAAAACCTGACACATTGAACAGTGGGAGTGAGTATGTGAAAAATACTGTGAATCAGTTGTGTTTTTTTTGTTTTTTTTCAGTTACATTCTCTTATATTCTATCAGGGATTTATCTTTTTTGAACAAGTAACTGGGCAGAATTGGAAAAATTGTGTTGAGAAATCTCCATTTGTTTATTTACTTAAAAATGTTGTTTGTTTGTTTGTTTTAATCTGTGTATGAGAGGAAAAT